ATCGAAATCCTTGCGTTACCATCGGAGCTGCGCAGAAATCTAGGAGGAATACGTCACTAAATTTCGTCGTTACGACATCACCTTGAAATGATTGTTCGATCCAATCGCCGACAGACTACAAGACAAGCTCATCAAAACTTTGTGCAATCATCTGGAACTGTTGTCAGTCTTTCAACAGTTAAAAAAGCATTGTATGACGCAGGATACAATAGTCGGGTTGCTGCCAGAAAACCGTTCATATCACCAAAGAACAAACAAGATCGATTACGGTGGTACCGAGAACACAAGGAATGGACAATTGAGGATTGGAAAAAGGTGGTATGGAGTGATGAATCTCGTTTTACTTTGTTCCAAAATGATGGTAGAATTCGGGTTTGGAGACTGCAGAAAGAAAAATATGATATTGATTGTATAGTTCCAACTGTTAAGCATGGTGGTGGTGGGGTAATGGTATGGGGTTGTTTTACTTGGGACTGCTTAGGACCATTGATAAGACTTGAAGGAACAGTCAACAGTCAATGATACATAGAAGAAGTCTTGGAAGAACATTTGGTGCCATTTATGGAGAGCTTTGGAGAAGAAATCGATGATTATCAATTTCAACAGGACAATGCTCCAATTCATAAAAGCAAAATGACAATGACATTCTTTGAAAATTCAGAGATTAATGTGATGAAATGGCCAGGACAGAGTTCAGACCTTAATCCAATTGAACACCTGTGGGATGAATTAGAACGCTCTATTAGAAAGCGGGAGCCACCACCAAGAAATGAGAGTGAGTTGGCTGTATTTCTTCAAGAAGAGTGGGAGAACATCCCAACTAGTATATATCAAAACCTTATTTTAAGTATGGATAACAGAGTAAAAGCAGTTATAAAGGCTAAAGGCTATGCAACTAAGTATTGATAAATATTATAATTGCTTTTTACATTCAATTATGTGTTGAATCAAAAAATTTTTATATTGTATTAAAATTTAATAACTCAGTAATTAAGCTATTCGCAAAAACTTTTTTGTATTTTGTAGCGCTGTTTACGCTCTTTATAATGAATGTAAGATTATAAGATATTATTAAGTAAATTGTTTTTTTGGGACAATTTTAAACGTTGATATCGCAAAATTCTATTTACCAATTTTTGGTAGCATGCAAACATGCTCTAAGTAAGTTTAACATTCTACTATTTAACCTACAATAAAATTTTGCAGAAATGTTATATATAATGTGCGCTAACAATGGCATAAATTCCATGACTATAGGACGCATGGTTGTGGATTTATTCATAATTAATTAAAAATCGAAGGGGTGGTCCGTGACTTTTGAGACGGCACTGTACAACAATATTAATATGCAGTTTTGACTTTTTGAAACAATTTATTTATATTTGATACTGTTAACGATTTCCAAATTAAACTCAAGGTAAATTCAGAGTCATACTTTCTTGTTCTGTCCTGTTCTTTTTTGTTTTTTAAGGTTATCATGCTCATCAAATATTTTTGCATCTGTATTGTTTCCAGTATTATAAATGTCTTGATGATCAGTATCTGTAAAATGGTGTTTGTTGTGACAAATAATACATTTTATCCTTTCTAATTTCACTTCAAGGTTTTTAATGATAAAAGAGCCTTTGAGCTAATAATATGATGACAATTAAGCTGATAAAAATCATCAATTGCTTCACAAACAATAGTGCATGTTAGAACATAGTAATAGTCAATTGGATTTTTTCAACCTTTTTTCCTCTTCCTTTGTCTTGTTGCTCCTTATTATTTTTTGAGCACTTATTATTATTTGTTCTGGTGAATATTTTAAAATCATTTTTGATTCAACTGCTAATTTTATTTTTCTTTCAGGTAATAGCACATGCTAACCAATCTTGGTATATACAACCAGAAATATCATTGTTTCTTTAACAGAAAACCAAATATTCCTTTCCTAATATAAATAGGAGTTATATGAATAGATTTTAAGATGGACCTCAATCAAACAGTTTATGCATCTAGATTATCATAGCGTTCAAACAATATTCGGTGAAGGCCAATTCGGTATATCACAAATCCAATAATCGGTTTACCAGAAAAATTATTTTTGAGCTTTTTTGCATTTTTTAGCAGTTCATTGTATGCATTATTCCACTGTTCTTCAATAGTTCTAAAATGGTTGTACCCAGAGAACCTCAATCGCAGCTCTTTAAGCTTACTTTCACTGTAATTGAGAAACTCTCGAGACTTTTCAACTTGTTTTTGCCATTGTGGTGGCATATCCTCCAAATCACTGATGCGGGAGTTCTTGAATTCAATCAATAGCACAGGGTCTAGACTTGAAGCATGGGGAGGAATCATGACAGTGTCTGCTTGGCCAAGAAAGACATCAGATTTGTCAAAGCAGAATTCATTTATCAGTCGATGTCTCTCATCTTCAGCAAGGCCAGCCAGGATAAGAGCTTGAAAGCGAGTTTTAAGTGTTGACTCCACAGAATGAACAACATCACCATGATCCTCTTTGGGAAGCAGTGAGCTATCCAAAAGCAGCTTGACAAGAGGAGCCACATCAAGCTCATTGAGAAATGAACTCACTGCAGCAGAAACTTGTGCTTGTTCTCCTAAATTAAGTTTCTGCAGGTTTTGCAACAATTGCTGAACAAACACTTCACGAGCCACTCGATTGGGGATTTTGGCATATATTTGCTGCAGAAACACCAAGGTTACATTATTATTATGACAATGATTATGACCACTGTACACATAACATATATCTTACTTACCTCATCAACCCCAACTACTGTCAGTGCTCCATAGTATACCATCAAAGAGAGGAGTGTATTAGGCTTTCCATCATTCAATTCCTTCCTTACCTCATTAATGACAAAGGCTTCGGACAGCTTAAATGGGACTGGCTTTGTGAGGAGTTGTAGAAGAAGCAGACGAAATTTATCATTCTGACCCTTTGACAGAAATTGCAGCACACTCTCTGAGAGATTAGTGTTGATATCAACCAGGCTTTTTGGGAATGTGCCTTTCTTGAGGAGATGCTGCAAACAATTGACTATTTGTCCACCATTGAAAACACTTGAATCACCACCAAAACGGTAGCCATCATAGTAATCAATCAACATATCAGAGACTTCTTTTGTCTTTATCACATCCCAGTTATACTTGTGTCCAATACTCTGGAGAACAGGCTGGATATCATCAACCAAGATACCACACACATCCTGGTATTGTGAATCCCACGTTATATCAAAGGCAACATTAAATCCACTAGTGAAGTCAGCAATGGCTAGAGGAGCAACCCCAACAATCAGCGCACGATTTCCAGGAACTGCAAGGGCTCGTTTGAGTACTGTGAAAAAGCGGAAGTACACAGAACCTCGTTGTTGAAGATATTTTCGATATGGCTCTGCTTCTGGAAACAGCAAAGCAGAGTTGACTGAAGAATCATACTCATCAACTATGATCATAATCTGTTTCATGATTGTTAGATTGCATTCTTTACATATTATAATTAATATCCAATTAAGTTCATGTTACTTACCGGGCTGTTCAGTACCTCCAGTAATCTCACCAATTCCATAAACAGTGTAATGACATCTTTGGACACTGAAACAGGAAAATCCAGTTCATAACATTCACAGAAATTAATCAAAGCATCTCGCAGTTGGTTTTGAAAATTCTGCTCAAACTCAGAGCCACAGTCACACAAGGAAATGTCATTTGGTTGAAGTGCAGCAAAACTCAGTGAAAGCACCATGAAAGAACAAGGGCATGGGGTGAAAAGATCAGAATTGATGCCAGGGAACATTTTGTCAAAATAAAGTGCATTCCTTGTGTCATAGAAACATTGTGCCAGAGAGCACAGGAGTGTTTTTCCATGACGTTTTGGTCGACAAAGGAAAAGGCATTGGCTTGGTGGATCTATGAACAATTTCATATGTGCAACAAAAAAGAGATTGCTTTGAAGAATAGTCTCATAGGACTGTACACCATAATTAAATCGCGCAACCTCTATAATTATAATCATTGTATATGTGAGTGAAATAAATGACACAAGCAGATAGGTAGCAAAATGATCATTACCTTTCTGATCTTGAAAAGACTTCGTGACAGAAATTTCCATTGCAGGTCTTTTTCTCCACTTCTCTTTGATGCATAGTCTTTCTTCTCTCATACGTTTGACTCCAACTTGGAAAGAATCCTCTAAAAATTTAAAACAAGAAATGGAAAAAGACATCAGATAGTGTGGAAAAGAAAAGAAAAAAGCACTGGCTAGCCATAATCATCATCTGATAATTTTAAATTTGCCATGCTCTACTCCATGCGTCATGAAGTTGTTACCTGGTCTAATAACACCTGGATATGTAAGGCAGATGGCATGTGAATTAATTAGTTGATGTCACAAACAAGTGGCTAAGAATTAATCAATAACAATATCACACTACTTACTGTGACACTCGACAATGATGTGGATGGATCCTGAAGCAGGAGTACCAAACATCTCTCCAACCCGCTTTGTCATATATTTTATCTTGATGCCACCTAACTCTTCAATGGTTTTCTTATTGTTTCGAAGTTGCTCAATCTTTTCCTCATTATCCTCGGGAATATTAACTCTCCACATTACAAGATCTTTTGTGTCAACATTAACAAACATTCCTGGCTGCTCCATCTTGATGGTTTTCTTGAGTTGTCCGATGGTTTCATTCTTGTCGGCAGAAACTGGAAATGCATTTTCAATGCCATCACCGCAAAAAAGACAGAACAATGTAATTGGACCATAGGGAGCAGGTGTAGTGGCCTGAGCATATGCAAGTATAAAATAAGTAACCAGCAAGCAAACAAGTCTACACATAAACTGTACAACACAAAGGAACTTCCAAGCATCCAAAACAGGCTAGTAATATCTACCTCAGTCTCCATTTGAACAGAATCAAGCAACTGGACATCGTGTTTGCTTGTGCTTGCAGCCGGCTTGGCAGTCGCTTGTTGAACTCGTTTTTTCTCTTGTTCTTCCTTTCGTTTTTTCTCTTGTTCTTCCTTTCGTTTTCTGTCTTGGTCTTCCTTTCGTTTTCTCTCTTGTTCTTCCTTTCGTTTTCTCTCTTGTTCTTCCTTTCGTTTTCTGTCTTGTTTTCCCCTAGTACTAGTCATGTTGAAAGAGAAGTGCACAGCCACCTGCAATTTTCATGGGAAATTTTAATGACGCGCGCATGTGAGATCGATCTATCAAAAGTCACGGGGCACCCCCAAAATTTACTAGTAAAACAGATGGAATGTCTTTCTTTTCAAAAATCTCTCCGACACATGTGTACTATACGAAAGATAATATTTTTTTTGTATGGTTCGGAAGCTAATTGATTGTGCTTTTCCAAAAAAAAAAAGTTATATATTATCGTTATAAATCAGTAGCTTGACGAAGAGTGCGTATACGTGCTATTACTATACATATATAATTATAGATTTTCATCGCTACTACTTGCTACCACTTTATAACGATAATATATATAAATTTTTTTGTTAATTTTTTGGAAAAGCACAATCAATTAGCTTCCGAACCATACAAAAAAAATATTATCTTTCGTATAGTACACATGTGCCGGAGAGATTTTTGAAAAGAAAGACATTCCATCTGTTTTACTAGTAAATTTTGGGGGTGCCCCGTGACTTTTGATAGGCCACTGTATAACGTCAGTGGGCAAACAGCCGATTTTTCGATTTACTTGACATACCGTAAACTAGGGCCGTGTTATGAAATAGCTGGTCTTTAAACTTTCTACTTTAAGTTCGAATTATGATATAGCATAGAAATCCATTGTACAATTCACATTTACTACTGCTCGATTTAACACTACTCAATTATATCCTGACTATTTTACGTTATAATACAATTCTGGTTACTGTGATTACCATAAAAAACCCCCTAAGTTTGTTATTTACGCGACGTTTTATGCGCGTGTTGGTACTGTATATGGTCGATCATTCTCTGTGCATTTCGCTTGTACGTGTCAGACTTTAGCGCAATGCCTAAATTTAGGATCGGTTATACTGTGTGCTACGCGTTAGACTCACCGTACAAAAGTATTTGAAGAGATAAAAGATGAAGAGGATGAAGAGATAGAGCAAGTTGAATATGATGGATCTGATTCCAGCTCTTGAAAGTAAAAAAAAAATCTAATTGGTAGCTGTGCCTTTTCGTGGCCTCTGCTTCACATTATAGAAGTAACTTGGTATGAAAGAGAAAAAATGAACACATCAGGCCATACTTTGTACAGTATCAGTTAACTTAGGCATTAAATATCTGACATGAACTAATCAACAAATATTGTGATTTATTTTTGTGCAGTAAATATTGTTAGCGATATTAATGCTGCATAAATTATAAATGACAACCTTGTATGAATCGTAAAGGCATAGTCAGAGAAATTCAACTTGTTACTAACAAGTTTTACATAGCTGAATCATAAACATTCGTATTCGAGTTGGAGAAAATTTCCATAGGCAATAACTTACTAATACCGTATTTCTCTGACTAAAGTACCCCGCAAGCAAAATACCCCTCAGCAGTTTTGAGGCCTGATTTTGTAAAAGACCCGGGTACTATTCTCGAAGAAATAAATATAATCAAGTAAAATACCCGGGTATTATAAACAAATAATTTCATGCAAAGTACCCCCCTAATTTTATTTGTCAATATTAATAGCCATCTACCATATATTCTCATATAATATATCATCCTCATAAACGTCTCCATCAATATTACTAGTGCTCTATATACTATGACCGCGCTCTAAATAATGTACAACCATTAATTCTCCCGAACACACCATGAACGACGAACTTTATTGCTTAATCGTGCTCTGCGAACAGTGTTTGTTGTCATGGTGTTTTGCTGACGAGAATGTTGCCAACTGATTTCGTGTATATATATACACTACCAATCAGATAAATGCACTACATCAAAGTACCCCCCTTACATCAAAATACCCCCCCAAATTAGTACCCGGGGTACTTGAGTCAGAGAAATACACTCTCCTCAGTACGCAACAAAGGTTCATTGTTACTATGGTATATAATATTATCTCCCGGTTCCCTCCCGCGCAGTGAGTCGCTTGTTAGCGTCAGCATCACAGCATTTTTCAGCGAGATCCTTGTAAAGTGCTGGCGTCGAATTGGTTATCCCTCGCCAAATTCCCATCAAACGGTCTATCTCTGAAAGGTGGGTCACCACTGGCAATCTGATGCGCAAGGATGCCGAAAGCATAAATATCCGATTTCTGACTAAACTTGCGAGTCTGAAAGACTTCTGGTGCGATATGGGGTTAAACTCTTGTATAGCTGAATTTGACACGGATGAATCCACCGACTTGGAGAGTCCGAGATCACATATAAACAGCTTAATCGAATGCTCGTTATCTTTCTTATAATTCAAGACAATATTTCCACCATGCAGATCACAATGTATTAAATCCATCATATGGACGACATGCAGACGATACGCAATATCCCTCAAATGTTCCAGCTTCATTCTCCACGTTAGTTTGTTAATATTTCGATCCAAGTAAGACAAAAGATTGCCGTCGCTCGCATATTCCGTTACAAGCATGTACTCATCTGTTTCTGGATGTTGAGTGATTTCATATACTTGAAGAAATACACCCCACGAACATTTAGCATGGTTCCTAAACTATTAAATTAAGTATAAATCAGTCTGCGTAACCACTACAAACAATTCCGACCGATATGATCGTTCTTACGGAAACAAGTAGCTCTGTCGTCTGATTGAAATTCTTAAAATTTTAAGAACACGCCGATCAACAGGCTTATACTTGGCGGTCCATAACCGTCAGAACCAATCTCTTCAATTTCGCTAAAATCTTCTTATATATTCCGACATATCCAATTCGCATAAATCTATCTAAATCGTCGTATATCGTTGTAGAATACTAAATAGTAGTCTCCTGTAGACGGCTCCTGAGCGATGCCAATGATCCAGAGATTATTTGACGTCAAGATTTCTGAAAAGAAAACAAAACAGTATAACATTAAAATCACGAGTTTTCAATGCACAACATTATATTCAGCGTTGAGATTAATTTTACCTGGTAAAAATCAAACGACTGCATCTTGTCAATTAACGATCTTTTTTAACGCTGCTTTGACCGGCCCATCAAGTTTTGCTATCGGTTGTAACCAATCTGCCACCTGCGTGCATCCTTGCTTTGACGACGATGCCTCCTCCACATTTATCAATTGAGTGTATTCTATCCATTGGATATAGCTTTCGATTAGACGCATCGTTATTCCACGATCTCATGATAAAATCATCTAATGACTTGTTCCCGGTTGTCCAATCAAGAGGTCTTGGCGCCCGACACCCCAAGCAGAACGCGTTTATACTGAGTGGGAGACGCCCCGTACATGCCAGACAGAGTTCTCCTTTATGCGCGAGTATACTAGGCTTATTTCTGCCATTGCGGGTGATACGTAAACCCAATTGTAAGCCAAGCATCTGCATCTTGATAGTCGTCACATAACTAGTGAAGGGTGTTTGTTTTAAGTATTAAGTCACATAAACTAATCAGTGCATATAACCGAAATTCATACCAAGTCTTTTACCTTTTCATAGTACAAATCATCTGTTTCGTCCGATATATCAAGTAGAATCAATACTATGTTGTTGGTGTAAGTAGGTCTTCATTAAATTTCACCGTTGAACGTCCGTCCGATTGCCTAATAAACTCGTCAAGCCTTTTATTCTTGATAGTCTACGCATCCGATAACCGTTTATGACCACAAACGCACCACACCCAGAACAGAATCCGCATAGAGAATAAGTATGATAGAACTGCATCTTGGCCACCAGGTAGCAATTATTGTAAATCCCAATATCATTTTGTCACGCCTTTCGAATATCTTCTAAACTGCTGGACTTGGGCCGAATCCTTATACTTATGTGCCGGAAGTGAGTAAACTCGTGGATAAATTCATCGTCTGGAAGAAGTAGCATCATCAGTCTCATCTGAAGTACCGCTACGATTGTCTTTGATTAGAAAAACTTTCAATTGACTCGATGTCTGTAAACTCTGAATAAGGAATCTATCCAGATCTATGCAGGATCTCTCCTATCGAGAGTCTTAAAGAATTCGATTAGTTGATCGATTTCAGAACATTCAGAAACAGTCTTTCTGCTTTGCATGGCGACCGATGAGCCCAGAGACGATGACATTTCTTGGGAAAGATAGGTTGTCAACACGGCTGCGTATTCAAATTCTGCTCATTCATTTACGGCAGCTGAAATCGCAATGCTACACACCTTTTTCGTCGGGCTTCAAGTGATTCTGTCCATCGTTTCTAAATCACTTATTCTTATTCATCTACCACATACAGTATGATGAGTAAACAATGCTTAATTCACAGAACTAACACATTAAGAAAATAAGAAGAATTAATCAATGTCTCTGGAAAAGATATATATTCCATCCGCGTATCAAGTAGGCTATTATGATGGTGTGGTGAAAGCCATAATCATCATCTGATAATTTCAATATCACACTACTTACTGTGACACTCGACAATGGATGGATCCCGAAGCGGGAGTACCAAACATCTCTCTGTCATATATTTTATCTTGATGCCACCTAACTCTTCGATGGTTTTCTCATTGTTTCGAAGTTGCTCAATCTTTTCCTCATTATCCTTGGGAATATTAACTCTCCACATTACAAGATCTTTTGTGTTAACATTAACAAACATTCCTGGTTGATGGTTTTCTTGAGTTCTCCAATGGTTACATTCTTGTTGGCAGAAACTGGAAATGCATTTTCAATGTCATCACCGCAAAAAAGACAGAACAATGTAATTGGACCATGGGGGGCAGATGTTCCAGGTGTAGTGGCCTGAGCCTCCTTCTGCATATTGCAAGTATAAAATAAGTAAAACAAGTCCACACATAAACTGTACAACACAAAGGAACTTTCCGAGCATCCAAAACAGGCTAGTAATATCTACCTCAGTCTCCACTTGAACAGAATCAAGCAACTGGACATCGGACATCTCTTGTTTGCTTGTGCTTGCAGCCAATGTGACAGGCTTGGGCACTGCTGCAGTCACTTGTTGAACTCGTTTTTTCTCTTGTTCTTCCTTTCGTTTTCTCTATTGTTTTGTTTTCTGTCCAAACTAGTACTTACGATTAGCATGACGTATTCCTCCGATAAGTTACACCAAGCCGCAGCATTCTCGTTTCACGGCGGCTCAGCAAATGTAGGACCAATTGATGCAACAGATTTCCACCAGAAAAGAAACGAATTTGTTTCTTTTTATTTAATCCTCATGTATTTATTAGTTTAGAGTATAGAACAGCGCAGTAAGCGCAGAACTCGAAATAGATATACACTCATACCCATATAAGCGGGGTGGGGGGTAAGGATGATCTCGTAGTCACATGACAAAAATCATAATGATAATGATAATGCAAAAAAAAAAAAAATAAAAATAATAAAATGGGTTATTCAAGTATATACGTACAATGTTATTATTAAAAATATAAAACCAGTTGCTTTGTTTTAATTTATCAATGTGTTCTTTTTCAGCCTTTTTCATTAAGTTGTTCAGAAAAGAAATATCATTTGCAGTTGCATGATCTAACTGTTCAGTATACTGCTTGAATATACCAAACGCTTTTTATCATCTTCATAAGTGATAATGGATCTTTCCTCCTCTTCTTTATCTTCATCATCATCACTACTTGGAAGACATTCTAATAT